CTAGCGTCTACGTACACGGCTAGCCCTAACCCCGATCCCCGTTGGTAGGTGATGCCGAGGTCCCTCGTCTCCTTTAAGTAGCCGAGGATCTTCTGGATGGCATCCCAGTGCATCTTCGCCGGGGCGTGGGCGTGGCGCGCCACCGCACGCACGGCGAACGAGACGTCTGGACGCGAGAAAGTCGACACCCACATCATGCTGCCTATGGCGTCCCTCACCGGCCACTCCCCTCCCTTCTCGTCATCTCGCTTCGGTCCTAGGTCGACACCAGGAGAAGCAGGGATGCGGGAGGTCGATTGCACATCAAAGTGTTTCACCATGCTGTCGATGNGGTCGACACCAGGAGAAGCAGGGATGCGGGAGGTCGATTGCACATCAAAGAGTTTCATCATGCTGTCGATCTACGCGGTTTGCGAGATTTCAAGAGTCGCAGCCTCTACATCTCTCGCGATGGCACACCCGTCAAACCATTCGCATCCTCCCAGATTTTTGGTGGGGAACTTCTTGTTGAGAGAAGCAAGCAACTCCTCGCAATCCTCGTCAAACCCAGCCACCAAAATGTCATCCACATAAATCACGATAACCATCGCCACGACTTCTCCACCAGGGCCGCCAATTGCGAAATCTGCCGTTGCAAACTTGCAATCTCTGCATCGCGGCCCTCCTCCACCGGCGAGCGGATCTGTTCTCCGCTCGCAGCAGTGGGCATCTCATCTCCGGCAGAGCTCATCCCGATGTGACTTCCCTCGAGGGCAAAAACGCTGGAGCCTTTCCGGCCTAAGCCACTTCGTTATCGGGAGAGACTGTTTTGGTGATGTAGACTATCAACTTCACGAGAGGTAGACGACCGTCCTTCACACGGACGAAAGAGGGAGTGCCCCACATGGGCAGCTCCTACACCAAGGAGGGGCCCCGTGACTCATCGCGGTGCCCCCTACCAAACGGCAATCTTACCAATTTGCGTGGCGCGGTCCAAGCTGGCGTGTGTTCACGTGCGGCGCGACGGCTCTGTCAGGCGTATTCCACATGTGGCGGCGAGGAGAGTGGCGGGAGCATTCTAGAGATTGAAGTGAGACCTAGTTGTGCAGGCTACCGAAGGCCGAATGTTTTGATTTTGGGCGGGGTGGAGGTCGATGGTGCTCGCTGGAGTGTTGACGATAACGGTCGGGAAGAGCAGCAACCTGTGCAAGTTCTTCGGGAGAAGAGATACACAATTCTCGCCAATCACAGCCCCTAGAAAGCGTGTGACCTTGTAGACGTTCGTAGGCATTGTGGTGGTTCTATTGTGCATTTCTTTTCCACCCGTCGATGACCACAGGGAGACATCCTCCAGCGTCCAACCGCTGCCGGCACGTCGTTCAATATGTTCTTGTTTCCTCGTTGCTATGGTTGCCTTTCGCTTTTATGCGTCATGCCAGTTTTGTTGCTGGTCGTCTTCCTCCCGTATCGCCCCATCCAAAGCCCCAAGCGGGTGCGCACAGCTGCCGGCTATTCTACTCTACATTCGGCATTGCCTGACGCCTGCGGTACTGCGCTCTGTTTGGATTTTCACCGCATTCTGTTTGTGACCGCGGTGTTTTCTGTTTCCTCGCGGCACAGGCAACGCCGACGACCAGCAGTGCTTCCGCCATTGCTGGAGGCGTCGTGTCAGCCCGCACTCGCTGTGGAGCAGCTGGCGCCGGCCACCACGACAGACTGGATGGCGACGACCGACTTACATCGGCCGTACTCACGATCGAGGCCCCTACCCCAAGCAGTCAAGGCGGAGGCGGTGGCGGTAGCAGCCGGGGGTCCCTGCTAGGCGGTCACAACCAAAGTGGAGGAGGGGGCGAGAAAGGCCTCGATCAGCTCGAAGC